TACAGGGTGACTCAATGGGATCCATCTCTCAGTAATTATTTAAAAGTATGTACGGTTCCTTTTCTTCACCTAGTAGGATAAAGCTTTATGCTTTGTTGTATGTATATATTGCTCTTCAAGCATGGTGTGCATGGTTTTTTGTTGTTTCATCTTTTATTATTCCTTTTACCTAGTTGTTCTATATTTGAAAGGCCTAGTAGTGTTTCGTCTAAGCTCAAAAGGTTAAAATTGATGCTGGAATGCATCACTTTATTTAAAATAATAATTATGTTAGCCCATGTCAACTAGAAATATAGTTATATTATAGTATTTTAGTGGGTGTAAGTCTCACATTGAAAACTAGTTTTACAAGGTTGAACTGAGCTTAAAGTCTGTTTTCTAAAAAATAAAATTGGAGAGCGCGTTGATGTCCTATGTTGTATACCCATTTTCATTTTTTTCTTTGGTCATTACTAGATATTCTTTTGTGGTAAATATGCTTCTCACAGAAGGAATACTAACATTTTATTGAAATTCTTTTTGTTATGCATGCATGGTTAGGATTCCTAATTCATTTTCTGCTGGATTCAGGAATTGGAAAAGTCAAAACCGGTAATTTTGACTGGTGATCTAAATTGTGCTCATGAAGAGATAGACATATACAACCCTGCCGTAAGTGTTTCAGATTTAATATTCTCCGTAAAAATTGTTTATGCCGATTAAACCCTAGTAAATATTACCAGCAAAACCTAGCACTTGTTGGTAGATATAAATTACTGGATTTAAAAGTAGTAGTCAAGAAGTTGTTAATATGCATTGAATTAATTTATAGTCCAATCTTCTGATTATGGTTGGCTTAAAATTGAAATCAAATGTTGTTATTACTTAAGTTAATGTTTACTCAGAACAACTGTGCATGTAAATAGTTACAGGTGGTGTTGGCTGAGTCACCGGTAAATCCTGTTATCTAAATTGATTTTTTAGCTTTAAAATATTAATCTAATAGCAATTGGGTGTTCATTTAGAATTTGTTTGAAATTTGTTCAGATGAAAAGGTGGACTGAGTATGTATTAAATGAAGAGGCCTGATGCGATGATAACTATACTACATTTAATTTCTGACTAGTCACTGGTGAGAACGAGATACGCAGTACGCCAAACCATTTTTTGTAGTATTGATTAGATGGTGATTACCGATGGTTACTACTCCATCAATATCATTACGATTTTAAATAGCAAAGCACAATGCCCTCCTAGTGTCAAGGGTAACTCATCATGTTAATACCTAACGTTTATCCTAACATGCTTGATCTGTTATGATAGAACTGGAGGTAGCATATCTAGAATAGTGATAGCACCATGGTGAGTCGTGCTTATGATTGGTAGGAAACCACATCACCTGGCAGTATATCGGAGATGCTATAGAATTGATGTGGACTTTGAAGCATGCAAGAGGAGTATGTAATCGGCAATATCATGAGTACTATGATTTTGTAATACTGGAAGATCGTGCAAGGGAGACCATGGGAGATAGCCTGGGTGAGGACGATTTGGTTGGGAGTCAGGGCACGTGTCAGTTGATCCCAAAAGTGTGGGTGCCATAACTTGCTTGACAGATTACGTGTGGGGTATCAAGTTGCTATATAGGCATAATGAAGAGAGAGATGGCGGGTAGGGGGAGGACATGTATTTTGAATACTGTTTTTCCTTCTTTGTAGAGTTCTCCAAGCATAGCAACCTTTTCCGTTTCTTATATATTTCCAAGACTATACAAAAATTAGAGACACATTACAACTTACATCCATCATTCATCGTTTTCATCATTTCCATTTTTATCAATCATTAGAAAATTACAGCAAGGTTGTATTAGGATAGTAACTCCCTACAAGTTATGTGACCATAACCATTTTGGGCCCATTTTGTTGAGGTTTGTTGGTTATTTGAAGATATAAAAAACTAGAAAGAGTGGAACCGTAAAATATGAACTGCATAATCCAATTTTATTGAGCAATATTGTAGGTTTTATACAGCAAATAACGGAAAGAAAACTGCCAGAATAACAACTAACAAACTGGTGCCAAAAAATTGCAGATAAATCCTATCAGTCAACATGACTTTTATTTTCCTAAAAAATAGCTTAAAATCTGATTTCGAGTTTGTTAATTTCCAATAGTCATCAATCAACAAGTTTCACAAATGCTTACACCAAACTAGTTGGCTTTTGAAAATTTGAATATGTTGAAAATAAAGACTATTTGGAATTTAAATCAATAATCTGTCTGTTATCAATATCCTGACTAATGAATTACGTGAGAGTGCCAAGAGCATTACTTCTACTGATAAATACTTATATATCCACAGGGTAACAAGAGAAGTGCTGGGTTTACAGATGAAGAGAGGAAATCATTTGCAACAAACTTCTTATCTAGAGGATTTGTAGATACCTTTAGAAGGCAGCACCCTGGTGTTATTGGATATACTTATTGGGGTTATCGGCATGGTGGGCGCAAGAATAACAGAGGTATTTATAGAGCACTCCTAAAATTGATTTGCATACTTCGCTGTTTGTGTGGAATCTACTTCACTTCGCATATTAATATCCGTTACATGACTGTGTTATGAGTTTATTTGAGCACAAGCACGTGTGTGTTCACATGCTAGTTCTCCGTTGACTTCTCTCCTTACCCTTTTGTACATGTTCCACTATTTGTTTTCTCCTTCTAGATGAGAGTAGGGTATTCCTCCATTTCACAGATAACTGCATTCAATAAGACTTTCCTAATTCTATCCAAAAGAAAATGAATGGATTTCCAATTGTCAACTTCTGTTATGGGAATAAAAATATATGCATCTTAGATGTAGTTGTGTTCTTCCATAGTTCAAATGCCGATCAGATACCCAAATGGACACACTCCCAGGTCGGGGTCTTTGGAATTTCTCTCAAAATTTCCTACGCTCATATCTGTATGCTTGTCTAATTTGAATTAGAATGTTATGAGTATTACTTTTTGAGGAAGTACATCCATGACACATTACATCCATGACACAGGTAATGGTGTGTGCATTTATTAAATTAGCATAATGAATGCAGAAATTTCTTGTTCTGAATTTTGAATGCCTTCCATTTAAATCTCTATATGATATGTTTTGAAAATAAAACAGGGTGGCGTCTTGATTATTTCCTCGTCTCAGAATCCATTGCTGACAAAGTTCACGATTCATACATTCTTCCTGATGTCAATGGTAGTGATCATTGCCCTATTGGTCTTATTGTCAAGTTTTAGTTCTAAAATTATGTATTAGCTTGTAGCAAATGTTGCTAGAAATTGTAATATATGGGATAGCCTATATATATTGCAAGCACGGGTTTTTACCTTTTTGTCTGGTTTTCTTAACTTACAAAAACCTGCAACCCTTGTACATACTAAATCTGTGATTTTGACTAGGCTAACAGAAGTTTGAACAGGGAATCTACTCTTTTTATATCAATGAAAAGAACATATTTGATTCTGCAACAAAATATAGAATATACAGTAGTCTAGGACTGTTACATGTGCTAGCCATTGAATGACTCAAGAAAAATAATTTGTTATGTTCCAAATATTCTAATTGAGGTAATTTTGTAAAACATCGGAGGCAGTTACATATTTTTTTCTTGCCTGTGCCCAAGTGGTGTTTTTCCGAGTGATAACTTTTGAATTTCATGTTAGTCTTTTTTTTTCTTCTTTCGGTCATATCTTGTAATAACATACAGTTTTTCTTGACTCTTCTCTTGTATATTGACAGATAAAATCATTATACTTTCTTTAGACAATCGATTTCATTTTTTGTATCCTCAATAATTTTTTCAGATTTCCTAATTTCGTGTTGTGAGTAGATAAACCTGGGCAACTACTCCCTCCACCCTAAACCTTATGGAAGTGTCCAAAGAAATCATGGAATGTGCAGAAATTAATCGTTGGAAAAGTGTAGCATGAAATGAAAAGTAGCCAATGCTGAATAACTAGCGGAAACAAAGTGCTTATTATTGTCCATCCGTATTTCCAGTTCTCAGTCGCAAAAGTAATGAAATGAAAGTAAATATAAAAAAAAANTAAATATTACCAGCAAAACCTAGCACTTGTTGGTAGATATAAATTACTGGATTTAAAAGTAGTAGTCAAGAAGTTGTTAATATGCATTGAATTAATTTATAGTCCAATCTTCTGATTATGGTTGGCTTAAAATTGAAATCAAATGTTGTTATTACTTAAGTTAATGTTTACTCAGAACAACTGTGCATGTAAATAGTTACAGGTGGTGTTGGCTGAGTCACCGGTAAATCCTGTTATCTAAATTGATTTTTTAGCTTTAAAATATTAATCTAATAGCAATTGGGTGTTCATTTAGAATTTGTTTGAAATTTGTTCAGATGAAAAGGTGGACTGAGTATGTATTAAATGAAGAGGCCTGATGCGATGATAACTATACTACATTTAATTTCTGACTAGTCACTGGTGAGAACGAGATACGCAGTACGCCAAACCATTTTTTGTAGTATTGATTAGATGGTGATTACCGATGGTTTCTACTCCATCAATATCATTACGATTTTAAATAGCAAAGCACAATGCCCTCCTAGTGTCAAGGGTAACTCATCATGTTAATACCTAACGTTTATCCTAACATGCTTGATCTGTTATGATAGAACTGGAGGTAGCATATCTAGAATAGTGATAGCACCATGGTGAGTCGTGCTTATGATTGGTAGGAAACCACATCACCTGGCAGTATATCGGAGATGCTATAGAATTGATGTGGACTTTGAAGCATGCAAGAGGAGTATGTAATCGGCAATATCATGAGTACTATGATTTTGTAATACTGGAAGATCGTGCAAGGGAGACCATGGGAGATAGCCTGGGTGAGGACGATTTGGTTGGGAGTCAGGGCACGTGTCAGTTGATCCCAAAAGTGTGGGTGCCATAACTTGCTTGACAGATTACGTGTGGGGTATCAAGTTGCTATATAGGCATAATGAAGAGAGAGATGGCGGGTAGGGGGAGGACATGTATTTTGAATACTGTTTTTCCTTCTTTGTTGTGTTCTCCAAGCATAGCAACCTTTTCCGTTTCTTATATATTTCCTAGACTATACAAAAATTAGAGACACATTACAACTTACATCCATCATTCATCGTTTTCATCATTTCCATTTTTATCAATCATTAGAAAATTACAGCAAGGTTGTATTAGGATAGTAACTCCCTACAAGTTATGTGACCATAACCATTTTGGGACCATTTTGTTGAGGTTTGTTGGTTATTTGAAGATATAAAAAACTAGAAAGAGTGGAACCGTAAAATATGAACTGCATAATCCAATTTTATTGAGCAATATTGTAGGTTTTATACAGCAAATAACGGAAAGAAAACTGCTAGAATAACAACTAACAAACTGGTGCCAAAAAATTGCAGATAAATCCTATCAGTCAACATGACTTTTATTTTCCTAAAAAATAGCTTAAAATCTGATTTCCAGTTGTTAATTTCCAATAGTCATCAATCAACAAGTTTCACAAATGCTTACACCAAACTAGTTGGCTTTTGAAAATTTGAATATGTTGAAAATAAAGACTAGTTGGAATTTAAATCAATAATCTGTCTGTTATCAATATAATGAATTACGTGAGAGTGCCAAGAGCATTACTTCTACTGATAAATACTTATATCCACAGGGTAACAAGAGAAGTGCTGGGTTTACAGATGAAGAGAGGAAATCATTTGCAACAAACTTCTTATCTAAGGGATTTATAGATACCTTTAGAAGGCAGCACCCTGGTGTTATTGGATATACTTATTGGGGTTATCGGCATGGTGGGCGCAAGAATAACAGAGGTATTTATAAAGCACTCCTAAAATTGATTTGCATACTTCGCTGTTTGTGTGGAATCTACTTCACTTCGCATATTAATATCCGTTACATGACTGTGTTATGAGTTTATTTGAGCACAAGCACGTGTGTGTTCACATGCTAGTTCTCCGTTGACTTCTCTCCTTACCCTTTTGTACATGTTCCACTATTTGTTTTCTCCTTCTAGATGATAGTAGGGTATTCCTCCATTTCACAGATAACTGCATTCAATAAGACTTTCCTAATTCTATCCAAAAGAAAATGCATGGATTTCCAATTGTCAACTTCTGTTATGGGAATAAAAATATATGCATCTTAGATGTAGTTGTGTTCTTCCATAGTTCAAATGCCGATCAGATACCCAAATGGACACACTCCCAGGTCGGGGTCTTTGGAATTTCTCTCAAAATTTCCTACGCTCATATCTGTATGCTTGTCTAATTTGAATTAGAATGTTATGAGTATTACTTTTTGAGGAAGTACATCCATGACACATTACATCCATGACACAGGTAATGGTGTGTGCATTTATTAAATTAGCATAATGAATGCAGAAATTTCTTGTTCTGAATTTTGAATGCCTTCCATTTAAATCTCTATATGATATGTTTTGAAAATAAAACAGGGTGGCGTCTTGATTATTTCCTCGTCTCAGAATCCATTGCTGACAAAGTTCACGATTCATACATTCTTCCTGATGTCAATGGTAGTGATCATTGCCCTATTGGTCTTATTGTCAAGTTTTAGTTCTAAAATTATGTATTAGCTTGTAGCAAATGTTGCTAGAAATTGTAATATATGGGATAGCCTATATATATTGCAAGCACGGGTTTTTACCTTTTTGTCTGGTTTTCTTAACTTACAAAAACCTGCAACCCTTGTACATACTAAATCTGTGATTTTGACTAGGCTAACAGAAGTTTGAACAGGGAATCTACTCTTTTTATATCAATGAAAAGAACATATTTGATTCTGCAACAAAATATAGAATATACAGTAGTCTAGGACTGTTACATGTGCTAGCCATTGAATGACTCAAGAAAAATAATTTGTTATGTTCCAAATATTCTAATTGAGGTAATTTTGTAAAACATCGGAGGCAGTTACATATTTTTTTCTTGCCTGTGCCCAAGTGGTGTTTTTCCGAGTGATAACTTTTGAATTTCATGTTAGTCTTTTTTTTTCTTCTTTCGGTCATATCTTGTAATAACATACAGTTTTTCTTGACTCTTCTCTTGTATATTGACAGATAAAATCATTATACTTTCTTTAGACAATCGATTTCATTTTTTGTATCCTCAATAATTTTTTCAGATTTCCTAATTTCGTGTTGTGAGTAGATAAACCTGGGCAACTACTCCCTCCACCCTAAACCTTATGGAAGTGTCCAAAGAAATCATGGAATGTGCAGAAATTAATCGTTGGAAAAGTGTAGCATGAAATGAAAAGTAGCCAATGCTGAATAACTAGCGGAAACAAAGTGCTTATTATTGTCCATCCGTATTTCCAGTTCTCAGTCGCAAAAGTAATGAAATGAAAGTAAATATAAAAAAAAAATGAGATAAGGATACAACTAATTATATTCTCATACTTACTTCACTATTTTAAGAAGGGCATTACGCCCAATAACTTATATAAACACTTTAAATTTGCAATGCCTAGGGATTTAAGCCATTTAACTTCTAAAATCCTTTCATACAACATCGAGATTTCATTGAACAAAATCTTGTCTAAATAAGCCACCAACATTCAGTATAACATAAGGTGGAGGAAGGTGCTAGCTAAAGAAAGTCTCATGGCAATCCCGGCTTAGTAACATTCAAGATTTAAGATCTATTTGGATAAGTTATCCACAAGTATTTATTGAAAAAGAATATGAAATAATATTTTCCTAAAAGTAAAATTAGTAGAGTTTGTGAATTGTTTTATGTATACATTAGTATCTTCGAAACAAATTTTATACACAGAACTTGGTTAATAATGTAGATATTTAGAAAGATTTACAACCCATGGAAAAGTCAAAATTAGAAATAGTTGTCTGAATGTTTTTCTCAAAACTTGTCCAGTATGAATGGTATTTCTTCATTTTTGACGGTTTGGATATTCCCAGAGTAACATTGTTTTTTAAAAAGAAATTCATATGCAGCAACTGATTCCCGAATGCAATTTTCTGTTTCATATCATTATTCAATAAAGATTCACCTGTTATAGTATCAACTAACAAGCAAAGGCTTTCTGAGATTAAGACATGTAAACACAAGCAACCAGATTCGTTCCAAACAATTTTGGTTGTTAGTTGCATACTTAAAAAGCAATGTCAATTAAAAATTTAATGTTTTACACTTATTATATAAATTAATCATCACTTCATGAGTTAATTTATACACACTGTAAATGTAAAATAATATCTCAAACATAATGTATCTTATCACAACAACATATTAAGGAGTAAGATACCAAGGTAAAATCGTCAGAATCTCATTACACGTTCTTATAAAAATGTTTTCTATTGACAATGTATAATCAAACTCATGAACATAGATAACAGAGAGATAAATTACATCAATAACATTCATTAGTTGTCTTCCCTTTTATATCTCTAACGAATTCCAATTTGAGAAAGCTTCATCCAACCATGGTCCTCTTTCGTCCTCTTTGCCTCACTAAAAGTTGTTAAAATGTATGGAGGTAAGAAGACGGTGCTTAAGAAAAGTTCAATTTATACAAGTATATGAGGCAGCTAACCTTCTGCCAACTTGTTCAATGTGGATGACCACTGTTTTGATGACTTCCGGTATGCAGTAAGTATCCGATCCATCTGTCCAGATAAAATCCGAAATTAACCTAAAACTGAATTGATTATCTGTTCAAAACTTCTATTTGTCTAAGCAGAAAGCACATTTCAGAATAATAATGATTCAGTCCCCTTCACCTTCACTAGAATGGCATGGATTTCTGGGCTAGTTTAAGTAAATCTAATCCTCTCTGGCAAAAAGAAAGATTGATTCTTGATCGATGAGGAGTTAATCTTATTCAATACTGTCTCTTTGACCCCCAACAAAACTTGATGCACTCATCTCACAATGGAGGAGCTAATCCTATTCAATACCGTAACAGTAGAAAAAAAGAAATAGAAAAAAAACCTTTCTTTATTATCCATTGGTGAATGGTCAAAAGGCTAATCACAAGCATGGCAGAAGAGCTCCATTATCTTCTTCAATTAAAATATTAACCAAAAGCATGCTTAAGAAAATTAATGTGCCATATTTTATTTATGGCCGACTTTGGAGTGCACTCTCATTTAAATTCTCAAATCAGACAAATAAAATCCTGTTTTCATCTCAATTTTCTATATAGAATGGCAGTCAGGAAAAATTGGAAAGCTGGCTTACCACATTCCCACATGAAGAATGCATTGACAGAATAGCTCTTTCCAGAACATACAAATCAACTGCTTTATCTTCCGGTAGAGTTGAAGTAAAGCTCAAACCAAAATCAATAAGAACCTACAAACAATTCATTTGGATACTGTAACACAAATTGATAATATTTCTCAGGGTGCATAACATGAATGGAGGATAATTGGATACCACATGATCTAAGAAGGAATGAATGAACTCACCAACTCATTGGTACCATTCTTGAGCAACATGTTTGATGTTGTTAAATCACCATGAACAAGACCACCATCATGCAGTTTTCCAATTGCATGACCAATTTGGGTAGCAATGTTGTCCAGACCCTCTTCACCAAGGCCACGAGAACCAAATTCAAGAAATATATCCTTGACTGAAGGGCCCTCGACATACTCAAACGTTAAAGTGTGCAACACAGGATCCACAGCATACAGCACAGGAGTACAAACCCCAAGTTTCCTTGCTTTGGTGACGCACCTCGCCTCCTGCTCCAAAATCGCATCGCATCGGTGAAACAAGAAAAGCAACAAAAACAATGCTTGAAATATGGGGGAAATTACCAATTCTTTTTTTCTAAATCTAACCGCATTTAAGCGCTTCAGTGTCAATTTAGAATCCAAAGTTGGATGCTCTGTACTTCTTTGAGAAGCGCTCCTTGACAACACATCTCCTTCCCACAAAAGAAGACTCAAAAACCCTCTACACAAAAGCACATCAAAGAGCACATAAAACGCTTTGGAGAGCCACCCGGATACAATCAGGAGTTCATGTAACATACCCCTCAATACCCTGAGGAGCATGAGTATGTTGCTAGCAAGGTACCGAACCCCCACCCTTGACAACTCTACCAACCGGTCGAAGCACTCAGTTGCACTTCAAGCGTGGGTGCAGCATACAAGAAGAAGAGTTGAACTTTTCTACAGACGGTGATCTTTATCTGCCTCTCACATCCCCACCCCGGACCTTACAGTTATACTTCCAGCCTCCGCCTCCTTTGTTTAGAAGCACGAGCGCGCTATCTCTTGACGTCACGTTTCCCAAGTCTGCCCATGGTCCCAGGCACCACACGATTTCTGGCACGTGACCAATTACCCTGAAACCGCTCCTTTAACCCCTTCGACAGCCCACGCCCCACCAAGAACAGAACCCCAAAAAGTTTACAACAGAAAACACCACCATCGCTCCCGAACTTTATTATCAGTGTTGAGATGTGGAAAAAAATTTGGAGGGTGTGCAGTATGCGTGTACTTGTTGCTAACAAGGAGAAAGGAGAGTCCCTTTGTGGCAGTTATGCAATGATCCACAAAAATTGGAATTAAAGCGACAAACAAAAAAATAGTAATAAGGAACGGGTAGAAATCTAGAAGACAAAACTGTATTCACAATATTCAACCCGGCTAAGTAATATATAAGAAATGCATGCTCTTAACTAAAGAACCAGCAACGAACAACAAAAATTACATACTACAAGACCCACTTCAGTACAGAACCATTCAAGCTTTTCATCAAACACATAGCATGCAGAATAAAAACATTTACTGGAAGCACAGGGCGGAAGAAAAAGAAAAAAGAAAAGGGAGAGAAAAGATTTGAAGTGAAATGGGGTAGGGAAAAATGTACCTAAAACGTTAGTGGGTTGCGATGTACTGAACAGAGGAAAAAAAAAGAAGGTTAAAGGTAGTGTTGGTTATTTGCAGTTGTTACTGTGAATGACTCTGGTTTTCCGTTAGGATCCTAATTTCCTTGTCCTTAAATTATGCATCCATATATAATTAATATTTTATTATGTGTATTTTATTTTATAAGATAAATATTTATTTTTATGATTAAAATACATGACAAATATATAAAGTATATTAAATTTATAATAAAATACTTCAAATGTAAGATTTTTTAAATTTTAATGTTTTTTTTTCTATATGCAATGAAAACAAATTAAATTGTGTTTTATTTATTTCATGCATACGTCATTATTTATTTAATAACTTTTCGAAATAAAGAAAAATAAGACTAAAATGAAAGTGAATTGAATTTAAGTAATATAAGATTTAAATTGATTAGGTGGTTTTTATCACAAAGTTGAGTCCATTGTAATGGGAGGACATTTGAAAACTCTTGTTTGTTTTATAAATAAAGCAAACTAGAAAAAAAATTGAGTTGTTTAATGTTTTCCTTTTGCACTTTAGTCCCTTGCTGAGGATGTTAGAAAAATTAAATGAATATTAAAACACATGATATTCATGACAACAAATATATTTTTAGTTGGATTAATTTATAAATTGTTATCATTTTTCAGAGTTGTTTAAGATCAATTGATTTTATAGATCGGAAAATTACGAGATAAAAAGAAAAGTTGGTATTTTATAATTCTTTATAAGTAGTTAAACAATTTATTCATTTCAACCTTTATATGGAAACAAAATATAAAGACTGAGTACTATAGGAATATCAAATACAATGAATATATCCAACGTAGTTTATGACATGAAAACTATTTTATTTTATCTTTTTAAACTCTTCGCGAATGTTTTTTTCTACTTGATCTTTACTTACAGGTAATCTTCTTTCAAAACATTCTTGGAGTGAATTAGGTATAATTATAACCACTCTTACTATATTATTACCTGTACAATCAATACTATAGTAATAATACTGATGTCGATGTTATCTTTTAACCCCAGTAACAATCATGTTAATAGCATTTCATAATTAATAATTAACTGATGTTAAGCATATAAACTATAATTATTATATATCATTTGTATGAGTTTGTGAGTCTATTAAAGTTATGATATTTCAACATGTAGATTCCATAACTTAACGAAGTTCACATAAAATCTCTAACCAAACTATTTCATAACATTGGTATCCCACATAATGTTCTCCTTATTTATCACATATCCAACATATAAGTTAAATAGTTAAAAATATAGGTACATGGTATACAAATTTCACCATATGTTCAACCACATTAACATTATCATCCTTTAAGTAATTACTATATTTCAAACATTTTAAACCACACTCTATTCAAATAAGTATCATACAATATCCATAACATTTTTATACCATTCGTTTCATCATATTAGCATGCTTTCATTCTCTTAAAACCCTAACAACTTCATATTAGAACAATTTCTAAAAAAAGAATTTCACGTTTCAAACCACGTATCAAATAGAGAAATCAACAAAACGAACAACCATGAGAAGGAACTCGCTTAACGACTAAGTAACATGTGAGTCAAATAATAAACAAAATATAGTAAAATAAGCCTAACAAGAACAAACTCGTCCAACAACCAACCTTCCTTCACTTTATGTCAAATTTGAATCTAACTGACCTAAATATAAGTACATAAATAATGTTTATTAATTTAATAATAGTATTTATAACATTATTAATAATTCTACCCCACACATTGTAATATCATTTGTTTTTGTAAATTAATTTTTGTTATACTCGCTTAAATTTTTTTTTGAAAAAACATTCAGAGTATATAAAATATTACGCCTTTTAAAATAAATATTATAGAATATTTTAATAAGCAGAGCTGTACCCTCTTGAATGAGCCACAAGATCTTATAGGTGTTTCGGAATAATAATGTAAAAGAGTTACAAATTAATTTTGAATGTATGTTAGATATACTATTTGAAATTCTATTACTGAAATATAATTTTCAAGAATGGTTATAAATTTGTAAATTCATAAATTGGGTTAGTATTATATTTGATTTTCACAAAGGATTAAAAGATTTTAAAGGTAAAATGATTAAAAATGAGGTAATATGTGATGTGAAAAACTATAAAGGAGAAGGAAAAATTGGTGAAGTTTTATCTAATTATAACTGATGATTAAAAATACCACAGTATCTGTATAAAATGTTAATACTTTAGATGATGAAAAATCATGAAAACACTAATTGAAATTTTTAAAATTAAATAGAATGTAAAAGAGTATAAAAATCATTGTATAATTTAACCAATAAGTAATTATAATGTAACGATATTATGTCATTAATAATATGCCACCACAACACCAAATAAACACATAATAAAAAAACAATTAAATTTTAAATTATAAGTATAACTTAATTTATTAAACTTATTTACTATAATAGTAAATGGTATTAAAGTTATTAAAAAAACTAAACGTCTCATGGGCCTGTGGTGATGAATTGGCAAAATCTGATTGGTGCTATGACGACAGTGAAAAACTCCAAAAGAATAGAAAAAGGAATAAGATTCAGCGTAGCCAAATCTCCAAAACAAAGACCAGGTGTGCCTGAAACAGAACAACCTTAAACAAACCCAACAATAACAATGGGAGCACGAAAGAGACTCTCTTCTTCTTCTGAACCTTCTTCTTCTGTGGTGAAGGAAGACACACAGAACAAACCCCAAGAAAAACTGAACCTTGCAGACCCTCCAATTGCGCCTCCCAAATGGGGTCTTCTTCTCAAGCTCTCGCTCCTGCTGCTTCCTTACTTGTACCTTCTCTTTTACTACTACCCCATCGAATCGGAACTCCGAAGATCGATCCTCATCAATGCGGGAATGAGCCTTGCGGGGTTGTTCGTCACGGTCAAGATGATCCCCGTCGCGTCCAGATACGTTCAGAAGCGAAATCTATTTGGCTATGATATCAACAAGAAGGGAACCCCTCAAGGAAATGTCAAAGTGTTAGTCTTTTTCTCGTTCCCTCCCTTTTTATTTTTTGCTTATGACGGGGTTTGTGTTGGATTTTGATTTCGAGATCTTGGTATCTATTTTTATTTTTTATTTTTAAATCATAGGTGGGTTAACGGGAGCATTTGGTTGGATTTGGGAGGGAATCTTCAGTCTGTGATATAAGCTTTGTGCTTTCTGATATGATTTTGTTCTGTTCCATGTGATCATTATTTTTTTTTTTTTTTATCCCTACACTTGTTTGTATTTGTTCAATAAATGTATCTGGATTTGATTATTTTGGTAAGATGATGTTCACTAGCACAATGCTTTCTCTTTTTAGACTCTGGATTGTTCTGAAACCTGAGTTTGCTATCTACCAGACTAATTCTTATATTTGATAAAGCGAAAAGCGTGGAAGTTTTAGACTTACCGATGGTGTTCTTGGAATGTGTTCTAGACTTTGATTTGTAGAATTAATTTTGCTATCTTTCCCTTCTATTTTTTTTTTCAATGGGATTGTTGAACTTGGCATTTTCAGTTTAGGTTTTAACTGGAAATGGTTGATGAAAATGAGGATGTCACGACCAGCGAATGGGTAGTTTGGTTGATGGTTTAGTTTAAGAAATTGATTAATATGCTTGGCAAATGCAGTTATTACCTTACATTGTAAATGCAGTTAAGAGAGAGAAGTAGAGATCAAATCCTTAGCTAAGATTTATTTTGGTACTATGTACTTTATGTTTTTAATGCCATGTATGCACGGAAAGGATAGATATCTTTTGTTTTATATTTTTGGTGCACGGAAAGGATAGATATCTTTTGTTTTATATTTTTGGTACTAAGTTTTGACCTTTGTAACCTCTTTATTTGCAGGCCTGAGTCGTAGGCAATAAGTTGTTGGTATTGTTCTTCTTGGTGGTGGCAATCTTGTTTCAGTATTTTAACTTCACAGCAGATTCAAATGTAAGTATATTATGTGAATTATGAGTGTGGCAGATATGAGAATTCGGTTCAACTCTAGTATCAATAGAAGAACGAAATGCTGTACTTATAAACTATTTTTATTTTACAGTGGCTCTTGTTGAACTATAATGCTATTATTGGAAGAGGTGCGGTTGCAATAGGAAATGTGGTACGATGGTATGAGGGGTGTATGACATAATATATATGATCCATGAATATTTATCAAAGTAATTATGCATGTTTTATAAATTGATTTGTTGCATGTTAGCTCACCCACTTGTTTGTGTTTTCTTTGGTTTGGTATGTGCGAGATGATCGTATAATTCGTATACGGGAGCAGATGAAGGAATTGTCGTCTGAAAACAATATACCAAGGAAAAAGAGATCGAGAATAAAAGTTAGAAGATTCAAGTTATATTTAGGGCGTTTAAGTTGTGAAATCTGAGTTAAAATATATCAAAATGTGAATTTTAAGTGTGAGATTACGGGGGTTACCGTAAATGTAATGTACAATATATAAATTATGACTATCCAATGTGGGATATTGGGATGTTACAAAATGTATTATAATTTGTGTAGGTCATAAACATCTTAATCAATTTTGATTTTGTTTATCACATCATTTAGGTTACATCATTCATAAATAATTAAGGTGTAAAATCTTTTTGATTTAAGTGAATAATTAAGTATCGCGATATAACTAATATGATCTTTATGATGAAACAATTGATACAATAAGAAACAAAGTAATGTTTGCTTGTGTTGGAGTTGTCCAACGCCCATTACCCCTTGTTATGATTGGTCTGAATAAAACGTGAAAAAGGTTGGTTCAACAATAATTGAATAATAAACCAAATACACCATTACCTCTTCCCTTTTAAGGGTTACCATGTCCCAAAAGCCGGTGCATGACTTTGGAGGTATGGCCAATGACACATAAATTGCGCATCATCTTTGGACCATTTAAGAACACTCAATTTTATTCTAAATATTTTAATTCTGTGGTGCATCTTCCTCATCTTTAATTTCAAAATTTAAGTACTACTCATATTTATATTCTTTATTTAATTAATTTTTTTTTCTGTGTAAAATTAGGACGAATTCAAATAATATTCATGACTAACATTCCTAATTACTGTCAAGCCAATATTGGATAAAAAAAACATTTGAGAAAAATCACTGATACGTAGATATCGCCATTTTCACTTTCGATGAACAATTAAATTTGATAAACAATCATCACTAACTATAGTGGGTGACTTAAGTATTAAATAATATGTAATTAGTGAAACCGCAACTATTGGATTTGATTTTTTAAATTAATACTGCTTATGTTCACTAATTTTCCATTAATAATATTGGAATGAAACTATCTATTTTTCTTTTGTGATTTTGTTTTGATATGAGTGAATAAGAAAATAAGATAGAAAGTGGTAGGGTAGGGTATTATAACCCTATCAACCCACTAAAATTTGTTTAATATTTGAGAGCATTTTTCACATGTGAAACTCTTGAGGGATTTTTCTGGTTATCATTCTCTCAAAGTGGCTTATAACTATGCCACATACTTAAGTGCCGTAGGAAATATATCCTATATACGACAATATCTTTGATATGTGATTTTATATTCACCTAACATTAATGCATTAATGTAGTTTCATATATCTTCCTTTTGGGGAAATTTTAGTTATCTGTTTCACACAACATATTATTTAGAACTATGAAAATTCTTAAATTTATTATATAAAGGAAAAATATTATTACATTTAGTGTATTATATTTTTTTCTATTAGACTAATTTCATTAAATGCCACAACATTTATTGCTATAAAAAAAGGTAATTAATTATCCTTTTTATTATATAAAAAGCAATATGCATTTTAATAATTCTTTTATAAAAGACTTAATTGATTAGGTCCTCTTAAAAAAAAATTTAAGTTAGTTCAATTTGATTTTTTTTTATATTTTTTAGTTTAATTTGGTCATTGTATTTTTAAAAAGATTTAATTCGGTTCTCAATGTTTACGATGTTAAAATTATTAATATCAAAATTAGGTGGTTATGTGTCATATATATATATATATATATATGAAATATGACTTTGTACTGATTGTGTATTTATAGGTATCGTTTGACTTTGTACTGATTGTGTATTTATAGGTATCGTTTGACTTTGTACATATTGTGTATTTATAGATATCGTTTTGGGGTTTAATATTGTTTAATGTAGGTGAGAAAATAAATTGGTGTTATTGCGTTTGCATTTGATTTCGAAGGTGTGTTTTTTTATTACATTTGTTTAGTGGATAAGTTTGAATTTGTACTATGTTGATATTCTAAAGGTAGTGTGATGCTTGTGTATGTGGTGGGTGGATTATGGTCCCTTTAAAAGAGATTATGTTTTAGTGTTTGTTTTGGGTTTTGGAGTGTAATTTGTTTTCCTTGTGTGGACATTGCTATTTGACATGGTAAGTTGTTATATTATATAGGTTGGGATGTATCATGATTTTTTTGAAGTTATATTCCAACATGGTGGACACTTTCTAGACAATGAGACCTTCAAATATAGTAATGAGGAAAACAATAGATGGTTTTACGACCCAGATTGGTGAAGTTATTTTTAAAATATTGAGAAAAATTAAAGAGATGAATTATAATGTCGCAAAGGGTTATGGTATAATTTTGGTACTGATTTTGTGGTGGAGAAAAAGTTGCAGCTCTTGTGTGATGATTTTGGTATAATTTCTTCATCTTTCTTTAATAATCATCTCACTTAAACATTTCACACAAAGATCCGTTCGGGTACAATTTACCGAATGTTCAACCCTGACTCAGAACGAGACTGAACAATTGTAACGAGACTGAGAGGCCTCCAATTCCAGAATGAATTTGGACCCAGAGGTTTACTATCGGTTTGGAAAAGAAACCAAGTACAATCTAATATCACTAACAACGAATAGAACGAACGTAACTTACAAAATGAGTCAATTAGATGAACTGACTCTTAAGAGCTTTAACCGAACATCTAAAAGACCATACTCAGCACTAAAGCTCCAGGCCGAAGCAAATAGAAACAGACACTCCAAGAGATTCAAAGAATAATACGTAGAGGAATACCCATGAATAAACAGAGCATTTATGAGAACTTAGATTATTTAGATTTAGTATCAAGAAATACGAATGTCAATTAAAGACTGAACACTATAATGAGCGAACCCTAGTGACTTGAACGAACGCTCATATTAGAAAATTTAGTTTAAGGAGATAGAACGAGTGCCTGGTGTAAAACCAAACACTTGCTTAGGACGAACACTTGGTATAAGACCAGGTGCTACTAAACTTATATAAATGAGGCTTGATAAATATACTAAGATACTATTGGATTAGAATTTAGGAATAACTAAAATATACAATTTCACACACATATATATATATATATATATATATATATATATATATATATATATATATATACTTAAT